GGGGGGGGGGGGGGGGGGGAATATATCTAAGAAAAAAATATCATTTATAACCCTTGCCAGAGCTTTCCTCTCCTTCAGCGCGAGCCTGGTGGGGCAGACGAGCAGAGACATTATTTTAAATGCCACAAATCATCACCTTCTACAAGCTGCCAAGTGAATCTGCTATCGCTTATGTTGGATGAACCTTATCAGTATCCTTCAGGGATACTGAATCATTTGAATAGTCACGTTGTCACTGAGGGGACAGAAATCTCAGGCAAGAGAACAAGGAACAGCAAATTCTTTAAACAATAATAGAGGGGGGAAAGGGTTTCAAAAACTTATCTGTTCCACCTATTCTTTCAAGAGATTTTAAAAGGTAACTGGTTTACTGATAATTTTTTGTGGGAAGAATAGTCTGCAGACTGTTTACTGAACTGCATTCTCTGCCCGTCACTTTCTAAAATTTCTTACGCTATTTCCCATCTTAGAAGGGTAATTCACCTTTCCCATTTGTTCCCCATAAAAGTTAGGCTTTTGCCCTCCTGGCCAAGATTTGCTCTTTACTTCCTTGGTCTTAATCAGAAATCTTATAGACAGGCAACAAACAGATGGAAAAAATAAGTCTGTGAAAACGCAAAAGTGCATTACTTTGAAATATTGCATTCTTGCGCTGTAAGTATTGCCAATGGCCTTGCCAGACATATCTGTACAGAGGCAACGTGCTTTGGAGAAAGGAACATGAGTTCTTGGATTTTAGACTTCACTTGACATTGGTCTGTGACCTTGAGTAATGCTTCACTGGTCCTCAGTTTTCTTGTGTCTAAAAGAGGGTAACAATGTGTACATGTTCTTATGGGCATATATGTCTTTATCTGTCCAGGTACTCATGTGGTTCTCATCATGACCAGTATCTCAACACATGTGTACATGGTATTTAAAATATGTAAAGGTCTTTTAATGCTACTTATGATATTTTGCAAGTCCAATAATTTCTCTGCCCTTAAAGGAATGTTCTCTCCTCAAAGCTGGCCAAACAATTACATTTTGTAAAAAATAAACTTTTGCAAAGCCTATAATCAATAGAAAAAAAATCCATTATATTTTAATAACAAAATTCCAAGAAAAACAATTTTACAAGCAAGCATTCCGCTGTAGAGGTCACAGTTCTGTTAATGCACTGAAACTGTCTGGAAACTCATTGTGAACAGTCTAACAATTTCCCTGTCAAAGCTGAGAAATATTCAAGAAAAGACAAAGGCTATACAAAGCAATTAGCACATAAAGATTTTTAAAAATAATGTGCAGACTTTTCAAATGCTCCTTGTGACAAATAGATATGAAATCTGGTTTGGTTTTGTTTTGCTTTCAACAGTGACCCAGGACTGTAAATTCTAAAATAGGACAGTACATACCGAAAGTGAAAACAGGTCTGCAGTTACCCGTTGTACACATGGACTGTACATAGATCTTTTTTTTTTAAATTCAGCCCTCGTTTTTGCTCTTCTCTTGGCACAAAGGATGACTAAAATACATTTTTCCCTCTGCTTAATGAAAGGAGTATTCCATTGACTCATCTGCTTCAAGTTAAACGTATGTATATGCACTGGCAGGATTGGGAACTGATCGCCCTAGGACCGGGTCACATGTGAAGCTTGAATTCTAACAATAAGATTTCGGTAGCTTTGGATCAGGCTGAGAAAGGTATTCGAATTCATGTGTGTTTGCTCATGAAAGAGTTTTTATGTGGTTTGTCAGCTGTCACCTGAAACTTTGTGAGCCTTACCTCTGCTGTTTTGCCTTCCTTCTTTCTCATCTTTTTTCCTTTTTTTCTCTCCAAGGCAAGTAGAATTTTGTCACTAGACAAATTGCTTCGAAACTTACAAAATTTTGGCCAAAATTTAAACAGAAGAGCAAAAATAGTCATCTGCACAGAAAGAAAAGCAAGTCAATCTTGACCATATTAAGAAAACAGAGTTTGCTGTAAAAGAAAATGTAGTTTACCATGAGAATGAAATAACTATTTCTTTTTGAATACACAGCCTTGTTCCTCCCACGTACCGTGTCCTGACATTTCAGCCCAGCTTTGCTCGGCACATGCTTTTCATCAGTGTGTTTATTACTGGTGAGAAATCTTCCTAAAACACAGTTAAAAGGCACTTTCTTTTTTTATATTTCCCTAAACAATTGTTTGCATTAATGAAAACATCCATCATTTTTTACAAGTATTCCTGATAAAATATACACCAGTAGAATTGCTTTTGCACCACTGTTCCGCTCAAGTATTTCAAATATTCAGTTCATTAGGGAGAGGGGTTTTTTTCCCTCCTTAAGAGAAAGGAAATACTTTTTTGCCTCTGGAAAGGCTCTTAAACCACATTACAGATCTATGAGCAAATCTTGGATAATTTTTAAATGATATAATCTCTCACAGGGTCTTTTTTGAACTAGAATAAGAAAAACAATTTTAGAAAAGCAAACAGAGGGGCTCAGTGAATTCTGTTGCTGCACGTACTAAGGCTCACATTTTTCAATTTATTTAGGTGTTTAATTCTCATTGAGAAACTTGGCTTCAAAGGAGCCGAGCATGCTCAGCACCTCACTGCTTCTGGCTCAACAGACTTGAAAGTGACATGTGAGTCACTGTCATGTTCCAGTCACAGCTTTTTGGCCAAGTTCTTCCCTTGGTTTTGCGCCACATTTCTGGAGTTCACTGGGTTTTACACAGGCTGAAATGAGACTTCTTATTTCACCTAGGACCTATATGAACCCTTTTCTCTGACAAACCGTTCATCTTTTGTGATCCAAACACTTTATGGACTCACAGTTGATGTTTAAAGGTGTTGGTGGCAATTTTATAGGAAAAGAGGAACTAGCTTTTTTGGGTTTAGAAGATAAGTCAGAGAAGATAGTAATGACAAATAAGAAAATAGTCTGTAGTAAAGGTTCACAAATCGCTGTTCAGTCTGATTAGTACAAAGATCAGAGAGAAAATTGTCTACAGCCATTTAATACAGAGTTTCTGTAATAGAGAAAGACATTCAGTAAGTTAAGCTGTCTGTGCTTTACTCACATCTGCATTTTTTTCATAACCTACAAAAACTACAAACTTTCTAACTACAAATTACTTCTCTGACATTAACCAAGTGGTAAAGAACAAGCAATTAAAAACATAGACAGAATTCATTTCTACTGCCAGAATTCCTAATGCAGACCTGGATAACACTTTTCCAGGATCAGCTAGCTGTCAGAGATTGTCCAGTTTATTGAGCAGTAAATATCTGAAGCCTGTCTGTCATCTCCACCATACAGTCTTCATTGAAATGCATGACTGTAGTGCTCTCCTTCGTGCCCTACATAAGCAGGCTTATGTATGGAGTCCAAATTGTCACATAAGCAACAAAGACTGTCCTTAAAATCAGACACACAGACTCTAGTCAGATCTGTTACAGAGATTCTCCCAGCTTCTTACCTGTGCTTCTCTAAAAATGTAAGGTCCTAGTTCTTTCTTGTGCTCCAGAATCTTCTTTGCTTGTTCAGCTGGGATGTCAATCTGCAAAGCTGGGGGTACAGCGGAATTAATAAAGCAGTCAATAATAGCTGTGATCTTTTTTTGGACTGTGACATCATCACAATGAGAATGGCACAAGTCCTGAAAGACAAAAACCAGCATTTTCAGTCAATGGTGAGAGAGATGCAAGACCCTTTACAGGGGCCCAGTGATCAAAGAGTAATAGTCATACAAAAATAATTATACAATAGATTTCTTCAGTATGTAGGACAAAATCCTTATAGCAAATGTGCATGGTCAAAGACATATTTAAGACATGAGTAGGACTTCTGGTTTGCAAATGCAGATATATAGCAATCACTGCTTTTAGGTGATAATCTCTGCCTGTGTGTTCTGATGGAACAGGATAGTTTTTATCCTGCTTTCAGTCTAAGTATATTACGGGCAAATAAGAGGCATTTCTGAAAAGAGAAACACATCTGTGTGTGTGAAATGCAGTTTTTCACAATGAGCCTGCTATGACTAGCATAGCCATGGTAACTAAAAGACAAAGAAATGCTCTAAATGCTTCAAGAAAAGAGGGGAATTATTTAGAAGGTACAAGGT